ACCACCCTCACCAGTTCTAGGTTGGGGGTGGTGTGGGGTGTTAGGGACTCCTCATCAAGGGTTGTACTGCTCAGATGGCGGGGGGTGTACATCAGAGGTGAAAGCCCCACCCACATAGGGCCATGAGGGAGTCCTGTGACCAGCTGCTGCAGTGTTGCTGGATTTCCCGGGTAGAGGAGGCCGGACCTCACTATCAGACTTTCATTCTCCCATAGCGGGATGATTGTGGGCGGTGCTGACTCCTTCCTATGGTCCCTCCCCCTCTGTGGGCTCCTCTGTCGGTGTCGCCTTTCTTCTGATGACTGCTGTCCTCTGTCTGTACAGTGAGAACGAAGCGCTGTGGAGGGAGGTGGCCAGTCTGCGGCAGAAGCATGCACAGCAACAGAAGGTGGTCAATAAGGTAAAGCCTGAGGGACCTGTCTGGAGCCAAGGGGGGTACAGGATGTGCGTGGGTGGAGCTCATGGGAGGGGTACAGGATGTGCGGGGGTGGAGCTCATGGGAGGGGTACAGGATGTGTGGGGGTGGAGCCAAGGGGGGTGCAGGATGTGTGTGGGTGGAGCTCATGGGATGGGTACAGCATGTGGGTGGAGCTCATGGGAGGGGTACAGGATGTGTGTGGGTGGAGCCAAGGGGGGTGCAGGATGTGTGTGGGTGGAGCTCATGGGATGGGTACAGCATGTGGGTGGAGCTCATGGGAGGGGTACAGGATGTGTGTGGGTGGAGCTCATTGGAGGGGTACAGGATGTGTGTGGGTGGAGCTCATGGGATGGGTACAGCATGTGGGTGGAGCTCATGGGAGGGGTACAGGATGTGTGGGGGTGGAGCCAAGGGGGGTGCAGGATGTGTGTGGGTGGAGCTCATGGGATGGGTACAGCATGTGGGTGGAGCTCATGGGAGGGGTACAGGATGTGTGGGGGTGGAGCCAAGGGGGGTGCAGGATGTGTGTGGGTGGAGCTCATGGGATGGGTACAGTGTGTGGGTGGAGCTCATGGGAGGGGTACAGGATGTGTGTGGGTGGAGCTCATTGGAGGGGTACAGGATGTGCGTGGGTGGAGCTCATGGGAGGGGTACAGGGTGTGTGTGGGTGGAGCTCATGGGAGGGGTACAGGATGTGTGTGGGTGGAGCTCATTGGAGGGGTACAGGATGTGCGTGGGTGGAGCTCATGGGAGGGGTACAGGGTGTGTGTGGGTGGAGCTCATGGGAGGGGTACAGGATGTGTGGGTGGAGCTCATGGGAGGGGTACAGGATGTGTGGGTGGAGCTCATGGGAGCGGTACGGGATGTGTGTTGGTGGAGCTCATTGGAGGGGTACAGGGTGTGTGTGGGTGGAGCTCATGGGAGGGGTACAGGATGTGTGGGTGGAGCTCATGGGAGCAGTATGGGATGTGTGTGGGTGGAGCTGAGGGAGGGGTGCAACATGTGTGTGGGTGGAGCTCATGGGAGCGGTACGGGATGTGCGTGGGTGGAGCTCATGGGAGCGGTATGGGATGTGTGTGGGTGGAGCTCATGGGAGCCGTACAGGATGTGTGTGGGTGGAGCTCATGGGAGCGGTACAGGATCTGTGTGGGTGGAGCTCATGGGAGCGGTATGGGATGTGCGTGGGTGGAGCTCATGGGAGGGGTACAGGGTGTGTGTGGGTGGAGCTCATTGGAGGGGTACAGGGTGTGTGTGGGTGGAGCTCATGGGAGGGGTACAGGATGTGTGGGTGGAGCTCATGGGAGCGGGAGGGGAGGTGCGTGGGAGTGCGTGGGTGGAGCTCATGGGAGCGGTACGGGATGTGCGTGGGTGGAGCTCATGGGAGCGGTACGGGATGTGCATGGGTGGAGCTGAGGTTGAAGGGGCGGAATGATGTGTCTTGGAGTGAGGGGGTGTGGAATGTATCTGGGTGGAGCTGAGGGAGGGGGTGGGATATGGAGGTGGGCTCATGTGCCATGTTTGGGCCCCCGGTTAGATGTTTCTCCATTGTCTCTCCAGCTCATCCAGTTCCTCATCTCTCTGGTCCAGTCCAACCGGATCCTGGGAGTGAAGCGTAAGATGTAAGTGTGTACTGCGCTCGGCTCGTGTGTGCGCCATCATCAGTACGTTGTATGGTGATGGAGCCATGTGAGGTGTCAGATCTCCGGTCTATCTTTCTCTGGGACTGGTAGGTCTTCGTACACCGAGGAGACCAGAGATTACTGCCATGACATTGTGTGTCAATACACAGCAGGTTCGGTTGTAGAGCCATTGTTGGGGAATACACAGCAGGTTAGGTTGTAGATCTGTTGTTGGGGAATACACAGCAGGTTCGGTTGTAGAGCCGTTGTTGGGGAACATACAGCAGGTTAGGTTGTAGATCCGTTGTTGGGGAATACACAGCAGGTTAGGTTGTAGAGCCATTGTTGGGGAATACACAGCAGGTTAGGTTGTGGATCCGTTGTTGGGGAATACACAGCAGGTTAGGTTGTAGAGCCATTGTTGGGGAATACACAGCAGGTTAGGTTGTAGAGCCATTGTTGGGGAATACACAGCAGGTTAGGTTGTATAGCCGTTGTTGGGGAATACACAGCAGGTTAGGTAGTAGATCTGTTGTTGGGGAATACACAGCAGGTTCGGTTGTAGAGCCGTTGTTGGGGAATACACAGCAGGTTCGGTTGTAGAGCCGTTGTTGGGGAATACACAGCAGGTTAGGTTGTAGATCCGTTGTTGGGGAATACACAGCAGGTTAGGTTGTAGAGCCATTGTTGGGGAATACACAGCAGGTTAGGTTGTAGATCCGTTGTTGGGGAATACACAGCAGGTTAGGTTGTAGAGCCATTGTTGGGGAATACACAGCAGGTTCGGTTGTAGATCCGTTGTTGGGGAATACACAGCAGGTTAGGTTGTAGAGCCATTGTTGGGGAATACACAGCAGGTTAGGTTGTAGAGCCATTGTTGGGGAATACACAGCAGGTTAGGTTGTAGAGCCATTGTTGGGGAATACACAGCAGGTTAGGTTGTAGATCCGTTGTTGGGGAATACACAGCAGGTTAGGTTGTAGAGCCATTGTTGGGGAATACACAGCAGGTTAGGTTGTAGATCCGTTGTTGGGGAATGCACAGCAGGTTAGGTTGTAGATCCGTTGTTGGGGAATACACAGCAGGTTAGGTTGTAGAGCCATTGTTGGGGAATACACAGCAGGTTAGGTTGTAGAGCCATTGTTGGGGAATACACAGCAGGTTAGGTTGTAGATCCGTTGTTGGGGAATGCACAGCAGGTTAGGTTGTAGATCCGTTGTTGGGGAATACACAGCAGGTTAGGTTGTAGAGCCAGCTTTACACATCAGTCTGGGAGGTCTTCTGAGTGATGGCTCTGAGCTTGTTGTAGGGACAACCTTCCTCCTCAGACCTGTCTGAGATGTCGGCCATATTAGGGGGCGTGTCTTCTCTAATAACCGTACTGTGTTCTCTCCTGCAGACCGCTCATGCTGAACGACAGCAGCTCAGCCCATTCACTGTCAAAGTACACCCGCCAGTACTCCCTGGAGCATGTCAACGGGGCCACCACCTACCCAGTGAGTGTGGGGACGGGGGGTGCAGCACCTACCCAGTGAGTGTGGGGACGGGGGAGCAGCACCTACCCTGTGA